CCCCAAAACCCCAAAACCCCAAAACCCCAAAACCCCGAAAACATTAAATTAATATTTTGAGTGAGAATTATAAATATAAATCAATAATAATAGAAAAATGAGTATCGGAGTGCCAATTAAACTATTGCATGAAGCTGAAAACCATGTTATCACAGTAGAACTCAAATCTGGAGAGTTATACAGAGGGTACTTGATGGAGGCAGAGGATACCATGAATATGAGACTTGATGATGTGTATGTTACTGGCAAGGACGGACGTCAATATCATTTGGACTAAGTATTTGTTAGAGGCAGTCAAGTTAGATTCATTATTATCCCTGATATGCTAAAGAACTCACCCATGTTCAAAAGAATAGCTTATCAGGCCAAAAAAGGTAAAAATGCATTACTATCAAAGTCAAGAGCATCAAGAGGAATGGGATAAAGATGAAATTGATGCCAAAGGAATGTCTTTAATTAACAAAAAGATCTCATTACTTAATTAATTATCTAAACTATTGTAAAATTTAATCATTTTAATTATTTGAAACTTAATGGGATTATCGAGAAAAGAAGCAATTCGATAACTCAATTAAATGGCTAAGAAATAACCATAAATAGTATAGTCTTGCATTTATACCATTAAATTATTAGAAATAAGAACTTCTATCTCTCTTGGATAATGGAGTGGACATAGCTGAAGAAGTAAAACCAGTTAAACAGAACAATCTAGAAATCATCAATTTTGCATCAAGGCTTTAGAAGTTCTCATAGATGAAATAACCTGCCTCAAGCAATATCAAGCAATCTAAAAGGAACTCACATTCACAAAGCAATGATCTTTAAAATAATCTTAAAAATGTATAGTCAATAGTAAACAACTCTTAGGGTAAAAATAAGAATAATCATGATGAAAAGAACTTTGCCTAGAGACTATAGGCTAATTCTGCCTTAAGTCAGTCTAAGTAGAGATTTATGACATTCAATGTTAAGACTAGCTTAATCGACAATTTCAATTTGCAATAAAACTAGCTAAGTTAGCAAGACAAAAGAGAATAGGATCTAGAATAGGCTAAACTTCTTCTATAAAAGCACAAGATGGAAGACATAACTTAATTGATAGATAGGAAAGTTGAATTGCAAACTCAAATTGAAATATAATCTAATAAAATGAACTTAAGGCCACTTTCTGATTCGTTTTAGTCGCTTGAATCCTCAAATCCTATTAAAAGCTTTGAAAATAATGTTCAAGCCTACCTTCCATATGAGTATCAGCCAAGTACTAATTTCAATCTTGATCTGAGGCTTCTGACCTAACTCACAGAGTAAAGTGCAATAAAAAGTCTAGGACTAAAGCCAAGGCTAAAGAAAATAGATCTGCTAAAGATCATAGTATAGCCTCAACTGAATCTCTAAGATGAAAATTTAAGATTAATGCTGATTTCATGTTCTCTGATTGCATATGACATTGATTATATTGAAATCTTGATAGCAACCTACTTCTACTGTTTCGCTCAGAACAACACTATATAAATGAGCTTTATTTGCGAGAGTATCATTATTTTTTCAGTGTAATTAATTGAGCTTATTTCGAAGGAAGCTGCTGTTTAACAAAAGTTAATGGCATATGTCAAAGCAGCTATTTAGATATGTGAAGATGAGTTAAAATTCAAAGGGAAAGCTAGTTAGAAGAATGAGAGAATTTATCTTTTTTAAAAGATGATAGATAATTTGAAGAAAAATTACAGGATACTTATAAAAGACACTAAAGTTAACTATTAAATAGACTATCACAAGTATCTTAAATTAAACTTGGATAATGATTTTGATGAGAAGGCATTCTCTGCTGTTTTACATAAAATTGATATAGAATTCCTTAAGTCTCTCAAAGTCGCTGATTTTTTCAAACCTCCTGTTTTTATGTTTCAGGTAAGTGTAAATACAATAATAACAGCAATAATTATAGTTTCACTTGAAGTTAAGAAAATATATAGAATATCAATTAGCTCTAATCAAAATTCTGAAGCTGTTTGTAATATCAGAAAGTGATTCTTTTCAAGAGGATTCAATTCAATCTTCAGAACAATCTAGGAGTTAGTCTTATTCAAATGGTCATCCATTCTTGGCAAGAGTCATGAAACTCGTTTAAATATGCTAGCATCTAATGTAATGTTAATTAACTAATATTTATAGTGATTTGGGTAACTACAATTTAGTGTTTGAGATATCAAATTTATTAACTTCAGACTAAGACATACTTTAGATTTGGAAAGAGTCAATTGATTCTAATCTTGGATTGATGGGAACTCTCAAAAGTTTAGAAAGTTTTTCATAGTCGAATTTTGAACATCTAATAAAGAATGGAAAAAGACAGGTTACTGTTTTTAGGAATTTCCTTACTTACTTTGAGAAGTTAGGCGATCAATTCATATACAGCTAGAAGGATGAATATATATTAATGGATAATTTGAGGGAATGTTGGACTATGATCGTATCTTATTTGGATTAGTTCAAAGATGCCTGAATTCAAGTCAACTAAAGTTAAAATTATTGTAAAATACATACCAATTCTTAATTACTTTACTTCATTGATTTCTCGTTTAATATTTCGTCACGGGGTTTTGGGGTTTTGGGGTTTTGGGGTTTTGGGGTTTTGGGGTTTTGG